GCTGCAAAACTGGGTTTCTATTTGTTTCCGCTTTCCAGAAGTATCGAAGACATTAACGTTGGAAGAGTTGTTTTCGTAATTCTAAGACCTGTGCCTTTTTTTTTTTAAGATTTTTCTTTTTAAGTAAGCTCTACACCCAACGTGGGGCTCGAACTCACGACCCCGAGATTAAGAGTTGCACGCTCCTCTGACTGAGCCAGCCCGGCGCCCCAAGACTTTTTTATTTGTTACCTCCAAGTCTGAATGTTGTAGGAATCTACATTTGTTTGAGCGTCTGGTGGAGAAGACTCTGTCCCGGTAAGCTGTGAACTGTGATCCTAAGATGACCATGGGGCGCCTGGGTACCGCAATCGGTTGAACACCTGACTTGGTTTCGGCTCAGGTCGTGATCACAGGGTCGTGGGATCGAGGCCCATGTCAGGTTCCATGCTCAGCGTGGAGTCGGCTTGAGGATTCTCTCTCCCTCTCCCTCTGACCCTCCCCCTCCTCTCAAATAAATAAATCTTTAAAAAAATAATAATAATAAGACGCTGACCTGACTCGGGGACCTGGCCGTCATCAACACTCTAGGACATCGCCAATCTGCCTCTAACCCCAGCAATATAAAAACCTCCGTGACCTCTCAGGAACCTATCTCAAGGCATCCCTTCTTGGAAAAACAAACACACATAATAAGTAAATCTCTAAGATGAAGCAGAAAACACAATACAGAATCTCAGTTTTCCAAACTCAACCCAAACCAAGTAATTCACGCAAATATCTGGGACGATAACAGCTCTCTGGGAGGATTTCACAAGTCACCAGTGGTTCGGTCCCAGTAGATCTGGGGGCTGGGGAGGAAGCTGCTAAGTGAGGGAGGGAGCAAGTCTCATTACCTGACAGCATTTCAAGTCATGTTCCTGGCGTGACACACGCTGGAGGAGATGTGGGCTGGTCGCTAGCCCTTACGGTGTGTGGGGCACGGGGCTAAGTGGTCCCTGACTCAACACAGCCTCCAGAGGCCACGTACTCTTCTTCCCACTTACTGCTGGGGAAACTGAGGCACAGAAAGGTCACGTGACTTGCCCAAAGTCACACAGCTAATGGGTGGCTCAGAGTCCATGCCACTGGCCAGGGGCGTTTTACTGATAAAAGGGAGTCAGTTCTTTCGGTCAACAAACATTTGAGCATCCACCATAAATTAGGTAATAAGGAAGGGGAAATTGGATGGGGTAATTTAGCAGGAGAAACGAGAGAAGCACATAAGTCAATAATAACACAGAAGAAGATTAAGTATCCTAACAAGGTATATACATCTTTGGGGGGTGGGTTTCAGAGGAGAGAAGAGAAAGCCTCCCCTCACATCCAGTTGGGAAGATGAAGAAGGTTTCACTCAGGAAATAGGATGTGAGTTTAATTTTTGGGGGGTGGGGGAAAGAGGGGCAGAGGGAGAGGGAGAGAATCCCAAGCCGACTCCACACCCAGAGCAGAGCCCGACGTGGGGCTCGATCCCACGACCCTGAGATCATGACCTGAGCCGAAATCAAGAGTCAGACGTTTAACCAACTAGGCCACCCAGGCGTCCGGATTTGAGTCATATCTTAAGGAAGAGCAACATTTTGACCAGGAGACACTTGGGGAAGGACAGAAGCCACTCCAGGCGGAGGAAGGGGTGGGACAGGTTGGGGGGTCCCATTTGGCCAGTGGGTTCTCATTAGGGACACCTCCAAAGGCTTTGGGCTCCTCCAGGACACCCAAGGCCTTTGGCTCTGAGGCTGAAGGCTGGCTGGGTCTCAGGCTCCTCCCCAGTTTACTTCCATCAGCTGGGGATGCCTCTAGCTCTGGCCGGCTGCCAGGAAGAGTGATTTACGCGAGTAACAGCCTCAGTTTCCCATCTGTACTACTCTTCCCATATTTATCACACCCACCCTGATAGCGGCCTCACGGTGGTTTCTCTCTCCTGCTACCCAGAGGAGAATCTGGGTCCAATTCAAAGGGTGAAGGAAGCTCAGCCGGGAATCCCAAAAAGCCCAGAGACGGTGGGGGTGGG